AATATAACGTAAAATAATTAAATTTCGCTTTTCATTTCCCGGCATTGAAAACTCTCAATGACCAAACAATTAAGCTTTGTCTTTAGTATGAATTCACTAGTGCCGAATCTAGACTTCAAAATGGTTTGAATACTCTTTAAAAAATGTGTTTAGAACAGTGGTCGGCACCCCAATACATTGATATGATTTTAACGCATTAGTATTAGTAACAAATAGCAGAAAGTAGGCTGCATGACGTTTCACACATTTATACTGTGTGTGTGTGGCAGAGCTTGGGCAGAGAAATTTCCTATGACCTCGGGATAGGGCCGTGCCGGCCCTACTGGTTTAGAAAATGACCTCAAGCCCAATAAATTGATTTAATGAGCACAAGTTAACTAAAACTTTATATATATCTTTGGCTCGTTCGATACTTAAGTATGCATCATTTGTTTAAAACCATCAAAATAGAGTACTTTTAGATCACATCAAATTTGTACAACAAAATTTTCTGGAGGAAAAATTGATTGAAAAAATTGGTTGGAGGAAAGATGGTTTGCAGTGGAAGCCGCCCGAAAAAAAATTGTTGTATAAGCTGTAATTCTCTTTAAAGAGAATTCGCTGTAAATTGTATAAATTCGCTGAACAATTTTTTATAAAAAAAAAAATTTATATCCCTTTTTTTTGCACGATTGCAGGGACCTGAGTCGGCCTTAAAGATTATAATTGGGGCACGAAAAATATGCCCTTCCATTAAGGGTAGAAGGTGACGATTCAGAACACCTTAAAACTTTTCGGTGTTCACAGTTCCATCAATTAATGCCAGATCACCAGCGCCATAGTAAGAAAAGAATCCCCGGACCATTCAGCATGCTCCTTGCCTGACCGTTCGCAGTAAGCAATTATTTTTGAAGCATTTGTCGCAGTTGGGGCGCACGTAGCTCATACTATTGTAAGCCAATTTGATTATTTTGGTGTCGTTAGAAAAAATGACGTTTCGCCAATCATGTTCAGTCCAAGATTCGTGCATTTTGAACCACTGTAGCCGTGCGGTCAAGACTGGGTTTTTCGCTGTTCGCCGGCCATGAATTTTGACTATTTTGACTCCTTTCGACTGGTAAAACTTGCTTCTTACATTTTTTTCTGATTTGAAACGATCAGTCATACTTAATCGTGAAAGGATTCGATACTCGTGGTAGTTGGTTTTATTTTTCTTTCCTGATCCTGGCAAATGCTTTAGGGTTCTGGTTTTCTCAAAATGTTGTAGGAAATCCTCAAAAGAAGACTTAATTAATCTAACGTTAAAGCTTATTCCTCGGAAGCTAAAAGTTTTGGATTCTTAGGCCAATATTGCCCCTTGGACATTTTCAGTCATTTTCGACGAATATAAAAAAAAATTTGTTGTATCATTAAATTATTTGTAACATAAATGCTTTCAGATCATGAAAGCTAAGTACCTTCCGGATATAACGAAAAAATGTCAATGCGATATAACCAAACGCGCTCCTACCACACTAATGCAAAGTTCACATTTAGTGCAATTACTTGTCAGCTAGTATAATAATACTAGGGTCAGCTAGTATAATATTAAATATTTTAATTGCTTGCGAAGCTCATTTAAAGTGTCAAAATGAAATTTTATATACATATTATAAACCAAATAAAAGGCATTTGTCGGTATGTTATGCATTGTCTGCTTATTTATGTAGTAGTTATCAGCCAGTGCACCGTGAAGGCCTTAAATTCTAGACTGCAGTCCTGTCCGTTAAAGAGATGACCATCATAGATCTTTTCCTAGAGCAGCTGTGCCCAATGGGCCATAGCCATGCAAGAGATTCGTCAGTTCTGGAGATTTTTGTATTTTCTTAGTGCTACCAGGTAAAAGTATTTCCTGCATTTCCGCCAACAAGTCGCTATGGGGTTTACTTGTACTTTGGTTAGTAGGAGAGCGTTGGTAGTACCTGCCCTTGCGAATTTTTCAGCGGAGCAACCATATGAGGAGAGCCTTGAAAGTACCTGTCCTTGCGAATTTTTCAGCGGAGCACCCATATGAGGGTGACATGACAACCATGCTGCTCCGCCATTTCGTTGAGATATTTGCGACAGTCATTGACTTTTCTAGAATTGGTTAAAAACCCGTCAAAAGGGTTCTCCCTCCCCATTTGCAACACCTTTGCTCTTGGATCATCTTTTCATGTCAGCATGGCTTCATTAGGCGTCTCTCTAATTTAGTCGAGTGATACAATTTAGACACATGATACAAATATACATGGTAGTCTCGTCGGCGGCAGAATTGTTTGGGCTCACTTCCCTATCGACCAGTACGCTCGAGTCGTCGTAAGAGAGAGGTTGTGCGCGGACGAATTATTTCTCGAAACGTTAACCCTTGTGCGCTACAAAATGTCATATTGGACATTTTTTTTTAACTAAGAAACTAAAACAAAAACTAACTCTAAACTACTCAAAATAAAATTATAAAAATAAATTTCAAATATTTATACATATATTGCATGCAATTTTGTACCCTATGCACAGCATAAGGGTTAAACAACACACTCTGTTTCTGTTTCTTTCGCACGTTCAGGAAAACACTTTTTCACTCGCACTCATTGTAGTGTCACTCAATAGGGGTGTGACGCAGCCGACGAGACTACCTTGTGTTCACACACTACCTCACTGTTCACACAGATACCTCACTAATTAACCGTTTCTCCAGCGCCCCTTGGTCGTCTGGGCCTCTAAGCTTTATAATGAACTTAGCAATGCTAGCTGATGCTCTAATTGATGCACAAGCCATTAAAAAATTCTGAAAGACCGCGAAAGAAGAGCCCTGAGTGTTGTTCTTTTATATGAGAAGATATAAAGTGAAACTTGGTATGACCATATTTAGTCGTTCTCCATAGGCCCGTCTCTCGTAGCCTAATTGCCGAAAACGTAACTATCTTGACCCCCATTATCTGTACATTCAGTCGAGAACAAAGGCTACCTGTAATTCTGACCTTCGCCATCCTCTGAGTTTTCCTAAACCTTTCCCTATATAAGGAATTTGTTAGGGCAGGCCACCAGACTACTACCCCGTAGAATAGGATTAAATAAGATAACAGTCATGTAAAGCTCTCTATTAATTTTTGGAGAAATAGCGTATTTAAGCCCAATCGCTTTACGACAGGTATAGAGCCGATAGCCGCTTTGTTTGCTCTATCCATTAGCTTCCAGTCCAGTTTTCTGTCTAGCGTAATTGTTTGGTAATTGGCGTCACCATTAGGGGTAAGAGTTTCTCCTGATAGTTTTGGAAGCCTTAAACTTAGAGGTTTGTATTTCCTAGTGAAAAGGACAAGTTTGGTCTTAAATGGGTTCGTTCGTAGACCGTTCTTATCTGCTCATGTTGAGAGAACCACCAGCTTGTACGTCATGCAGTCACACGAAGTTTGTGGAAACTTTTCAGTGAAGACAATTGAAACTTAGGCAATAAGCCGCTTAGGCAATAACTTTGCAGAAACTGCTGACACAGCGTCTGACCGGATGTCCATTCATAGCCGGCGAACACTGCATATTTGCGTGGCCTCTATGAGATACGTTTTTGTTAGCTTTAGTTTGTATTCGAGCTTCATTGAATAAAGAAGTATTTAATTCATAACTCCGGCATTGCCCTAAATCGTAAATTCACTTTATTATATTGGTCACCGCGCCTCAAGGACCGTGATAACGGAGCAAGTGCCCCCACCATAATTCCTGCACAAAAGGAATCTCCCTCGGCAACCGCCAGGGATCTTATCAACACAACTACCTGTAAGGAGGAGAAACTCCCTCGGCAACCGCCAGAGACGCCCACGCCTGCGACACCACTAACTGCAGTGAGGGGTAACCGAATATAATCAAATACACCCTACCACCCATAACATTACTAACTTGTATATCCCCACGTTGCATAGTAGAGGGGAGAATACACCTCCTTGCTTGACTCTCCTCCTACTTTCGCCTCAACAATCCTGTTTACCATGATCCCCCTTGTGAGGTGCACGGGTTGATTCCAGCATACCCCTTGTCCCGTCAGCGCGTTGGTTATTAAAAATGGCAGGATGTTGGTAAAAGCACCTTCAATGTCTAGAAAAACATTTAGAGAATATTCTTTTTCACTAAGTATGAATGTCGAGAGCCATCTCCGTGGATCGGCCTTTCCTCTACAAGTTTAAATCAGTGGTACTCAATATGATCAATTGATATAAATTTAATGCATTAGTATCTTAGTGAATAAGGCGGCTTAATTGTATAGTTTTTTCTACCGATCCAATATAAAGTGGCTTAAAAAAAGTTGATTATTTACGTTAATTTTGGAAAAAAGCCTATGAGAAGTATGGTGGAATTGAAAGCAGGGGAATCGAAGAGGTATGAGTAAAATTAAACAAATACATACATACATCAGCTATAGTAAAAACGATTGGCTTTCCAAAAATAAGACGAAATCCTGTACGAAGTTCAAACCTTCTATTTTGAAAAACTATAAAGTTGAATTATTTCAGGTAGCTCAGTTAGATTGCCGCTGTAGGATATAGTCGGGCGATAACTATGGAATTTGGTAGATCAGATCAGTAAGCCCAAAATAGAATACATAGAAAGTCCCATACCGCTAACTATCGATCATTTAAATGGCTGCTATAAGATATAGTCGGCTGGTCGCGGCCGTTGTCTATATACAGTGTGCAAAGGAAACAAAGATGTGTGCAAAGTTTTAAGTCGATAGCTTCAAAATTGAGATATTATTTCGATTATACACAGACAGAGGGACATGTTTATATCGATACAGAGGGTGATCGGATCAAGAATATTCATACCCTATGGGGTCACACTTAACGATGGCCAACTTCATAAGAATATTAAGATTCTTTAAAAAAAAATCGAATCGAAGCCTGCCGAAAACAAAACGCACAAACAGTTAAAATCGCCTTAAAATTACGTGCGCCTTAAACCTTTTTATTAACCAAACGGCCCTGAGAACTTAAATTGTTTCAGAATATTTCTGAAACAGTATTTATTTCATACGGAAAGCTCCATTTATAAGAGAGGCTTAAAGTTTTTTTCTTCACGATATTCGAATATTTAAACAGGTATATTTACTTACATATTAAATTAATATTAACATTATATTACCTTATACTTACCATATAGTACCTTATAGTATATACTTATACATATATTATGGATCAGGATCACCTTCTGGGTCGAAAAAAACATGTCTGTCTGTCTGTTTCTACACGACCTTGTCTCTCGGTTTTCAAGCTATCGACTTTAAACTTTAAACACATCCTTCTTTTGAACGCAATGTATAAGCAGGAGCGGCTGGGATCGGCCGATTATGTCCTATTAGCTACCAAAAAACAGATTGATCGGAAATTCCATTACTCAGATGTTTTAAAAGTTAAGTAGTTGGGATTTTCTAAGCAGTTCAGATTCCCAGTTGGGATCCCCAGTTGGGATGGATTCCATTTTTAGACACTTAATCTGACCTACCAAATTTCATAAGTATGGGCCGACTAAATCCGAAATGAACTGCAATTAACTGCATCAACTCTGGCCTACAAATACGATTATTGAATGTTTCCTACTGCTGAGTTAAAAAAGTTTAAATTTATTGTGAAACAGTTAATTTTATAAATTATCTGAGTAGAAGATTTTTTCTAAAATATTTTAAAAAACTTTATGTTTGTATAAAATTCATAATATGAAATTCTTTTTTTCCAATATTAATATTTTTTGACCACAGAATCAACAGGAAATTCGTACAATATAATATTCAATATCAGGACCAAACATGTTTTAATATTCAAACTCTTGTCTAATTTGAATTGTAACAATTTAGCTGTACAGTAAAATACGGCCCTACTTCCAATTCGGTTGGAAAAAAAAGAAAAGTTAAAAATTCTATAACTCTTCCTAAAATTATCCGCTGAGGCTACTTTTTGATTCATATGTGTAGATTAGCCATTGGGAATAGTTTGGCATCAAAACATTATCCAAAAACATTAACGAACTGGTGCTTACACCAGATTTCTGTTTTGGGGCGGAAGTGGGCGTGGAAAATTTTTCACACAAACTTGATCCGCGCGAATATCCTACGAGTACGAAAGTCTTTGAGATCCACTCTTTCAAAAGGTATATATGGGAAAAGCCCGTTTGTTTGGGAAAAGGTATATATTTCAAAACATTATCCAAAAACATTAACGAACTGGTGCTTACACCAGATTTCTGTTTTGGGACGGGAGTGGGCGTGGAAAATTTTTCACACAAACTTGATCCGCGCGAATATCTTACGAGTACGAAAGTCTTTGAGATCCACTCAATGAAGTCTTCTTTTTTTACACTAAAGTTAACGTTAGTCCGTGTGTACCTTTCAGTCAACGTTATCGCTGTTTTAGGTTTAATCATTTTGCTCAAAATTGCAAACAAGCTGATCAAAAATGTAGTAGCTGTTCATTATCTCATACCAAAAAGCAGCCAATTGGTTTGCGCTAACTGCAAACAATCTCACGTAGCCACCTCTCTTGATTGTCCTGCTCGTATAAGAGCCTATGCAATTAAAAAGTGCATGACACTTGAAAACTTATCAAAATCAGAAGCGAAAATTAGATATCCCTCTCTGTTTCAAATTTTAGATGAAGTTGATACTAACGACATAACTTTTTTCCCACAGCCATCATGGCAAAGGAAATCTACTACACCAATTTTACAAAATAACACCAAATTAGCCACGCAACATTTATTTGAAAATAACCCTTTTAACAAAGTTGTTAAGATCTCTCTTAACAAAAAAAATGAGGAAAACAATGCCAACGACACAATGATCAGCTGGAAAGCTGCTCTTAAAAAACATGAGTACTCTCTCAAAGAAAAATTCATTAATACCCAATCTAAAGATCCTTTTTCTGCTCAACAAGTTGAAATTCATAATTGCAACAACCCAGCTCTAGAAGCTGCAGAAAAAAGTTTAAACCAACTAGCCCTAGACATTTCCTCTTTTTTAGTCAACGAAAATTCGATATTAGTTCCTGAATCAAGAAACTTTTTAGTTAATTTAAAAGATCGTATTTCTATTACAAATTCAACAAGAAAGGAAAGCTAACTTCGGGCGGAGCCGAAGTTGATATACCCTTGCAGCTAAGACCGGATATATATCGCAAACATCGGATATAGTTGGCCGATCCTTATGATTACATCATAATAAAACCAATTAACTAAAATAAAAAATCTAAAAAAATGTCCCAAGCTTCTATCTTCAAAAACACAAAAGTTTATATTTTTACCAAATACCATTTCCGATCGTTCAGTTATATGGCAGCTATAGGATATAGTCGGCCGTCGGCTTTCCTGTAAAATTTGAACTCTCTAACTTTAAAAACACCAAAGTTATACCATTTCCGATCAATCAGTTATATGGCAGCTATAGGATATAGTCGGCCGATCCGGGCCGTTCCGACTTATATACTGCGTGCAAAGGAAAGAAGGGTGTGTGCAAAGTTTCAAGACGATAGCTTCAAAACTGAGAGACTAGTTCGCATAGAAACAGACAGACGGACAGACAGACAGACGGACAGACGGACAGACGGACATGCTCATATCAACTCAGGAGGTGATCCTGATGTCTCCTGGAGATGTCTCCTTCACTGCGTTGCACACTTTTGGACAAAATTATAATACCCTCTGCAAGGGTATAAAAATTGATTTAATTAAAAACAAGAAAGGAAAGCTAACTTCGGGCGGAGCCGAAGTTTATATACCCTTGCAGCTAAAACCGGATATATATCGCAAACATCGGATATAGTTGGCCGATCCTTATGAAATTTGGTAGGATGGATCAAAATATAATCTGTACCAAGTTCCAGCTTTCTATCTTCAAAAACACAAAAGTTGGGTCATTTCCGATCGTTCAGTTATATGGCAGCTATAGGATATAGTCGGCCGATCCTAATGAAATTTGGTAGGTTGGATCAACTAACCAAAAATAGAGTCTGTACTAAATTCCAGCTTTCTATCTTCAAAAACACGAAAGTTGGGTCATTTCCGATCGTTGAGTTATATGGCAGCTATAGGATATAGTCGGCCGATCCTTATGAAATTTGGCATGTCGTATTATTTTGCCAAAAATAGCTCTCATGTCAAATTTGAACTCTCTAACTCTAAAAACACCAAAGTTATACCATTTCCGATCAATCAGTTATATGGCAGCTATAGGATATAGTCGGCCGATCCCGGCCGTTCCGACTTATATACTGCGTGCAAAGGAAAGAAGGGTGTGTGCAAAGTTTCAAGACGATAGCTTTAAAACTGAGAGACTAGTTTGCGTAGAAACAGACAGATGGACAGACGGACAGACGGACATGCTCATTTCAACTCAGGAGGTGATCCTGATCAAGAATATATATACTTTATAGGGTCGGAGATGTCTCCTTCACTGCGTTGCACACTTTTGGACAAAATTATAATACCCTCTGCAAGGGTATAATAACCAATCGTTACAATAGTTCTTTAATGTTGCTTGTCTATATACTTTTCTTTAAAAAAAATAATAAATAATAATGACTCTTAAAATCCTCCAATACAATATTCAGAGCTTAACTGCTAATGACAATAAACATTTGTTAGAACTTTTTTTAGTTAATAATAATATAGACATAGCAATTTTGTCAGAAATCTGGATTCCAAACAATTCTATGTGTAGCCTAGCTAATTATAATTTTGTGTGCCGACGTGCCGACGGGTATGGAGGCGTTGGTATTTATTTAAAAAAAAACATATATGTTTTAGGAAAATTAAATGTGACATTATTATTGAAGCAGATGGTGTTTGTACAACGAATCTAAAAAACAATATAAACATTTTTAGTATCTATGCCGCACCCAATCCTAACACTAATTCTTTTGAACAAGGTTGTAACAATTTATTTTCTATTGCGTCTGAACTGAACGGTACTACTATTATAGGTGGCGCTTTTAATGCCAAATCTAGTATTTGGGGTAACAACACGCTTCATGCCAGAGGAGTCATCTTGGAAAACGCTCTTTTAAATTCAGGATTTTTCTGCATTAACAATGGCGATCCAACCTACTCACCTAATCCGTCCTATTTCTCTACCCTTGATGTCACTTTCACAAATAATAATCATCTTAGATTTAAATGGGCTTCAGTTAATTCTAAAATCACTTTCCGGTTTTAATTGAAGTGGATAATGTTTCGGCTTCTTTCAACTCTTATAAATATAATCACCCAAAAATTATTAAAGATTTCTCAAATGTTCATATTACTTCTTTAGACCCCCTTTTTACTTCATCTCAAAACATTCACGCCAATAATACGATAAAATTAAATGGGAACAATAGATACGTTCCTAATAAATATTGGGATGAGGTTTGTGAAAAACTGTTTAGGCTAAGAAATGCGTGCAGACAAAAATATTTTAAATCCAAGCTTTTCACAGATGCTATTGCCTATATTAACAGTAATAGAAAACTTAATAATTACTTTTATAAAATGAGAAAGAATAACCTAAACAGGCTTTTAGATGATTTATCTGACCCTACCTCAATGAAAGATATGTGGAAAAAATTCATTCCCTTAAACTGTATAAACAAATAAAACCTTCTAAAAGTTCATTTTCTGACTCGGACCACCAAGCTTTTCTTAGTCAAATAGCCACAGCTCCTAACACTGATACTTGTTCTGACGTTATTTTCCCTGACGACTCACTTTACACAAATTCTATCTCAAACTTCACATATCATGAACTTCTTGTCTTTCTCAAATCCCGTAACCCTGATTCTGCTAAGGGACTCGATTAGATATCATATAGAATGCTCCTAGCCTTACCTACTGTGCAATTAGAAAACCTTGTTTCCTTGCTTAATTCTACTTTAGACCAAGGTAATATTCCAGATAATTGGCGTAGAATAAAAGTTATTCCTGTGCCAAAGAAAAACCTTGACTCTTCTATAATTACAAACAATAGACCTACTTGCCTTCTAAGTGTAATATTCAAATGTTTAGAGGGCTTAATTAAATCGAGTATGGAGAATCACATTAATAGACACGAAATTCTCCCTCCAAGGTCCTATGC